CGAAATTTTGCTCTTGGAGAGTGCTCGAAGCGAAGAATGCTTACGGACAAGGCCTCAAGCCGAAGACGGCCTCAATTAATATCGGTTTGATGGAAAAGTAATGAAAAAGGAATCTAAACACACAATACTAAATTAAAGGTGGATGTATTCCATTTTCTATCGATATATTTCTTATTATAGACTGCGATTAGCAATTTTTTTTCAAATTTTGGGAATACTGTTACGATAAAAGTGTCATTTTTTTGATATCGAAAAAAGAGGACCGTATAGTGCATAAATATAATTCACTCATATTTTTTATGTATTGAGTTCTGCGAGAACAAATGATAATTCTCAAAAACAACGTGAATCTAGAGATACGATAAGTAAATAAGGATCAAACGTACTAGTTCCTTCAATTTTTTTAACAATAGTTTTAAACCTATAGAAAAAAGGACGAGTAATCGCAGTTCATCAAAAAAAAAAGAAAAACAAATATAAATATACATATATATAATATGAATACAACAAGAAATACTTTTTGTATACTGAACACTTGATTTTAAAATTAAGCATTATTACTTTTACGTCGATCCAATATTTAGTCTGCATCAATGAAGCTCTACGTGAATTATACACTCGTCCACTATACGATAAATGTGGTGATTATAGTTATCGAGTAAAACGTCTCGGTGTTCTTTCATCGAACTTTCTTGCGCCGTGCTTCGTAATATCGTACGCAAAGTCTTAGGCTAGATTATAAAAAGTAAGTGCGAAACTTTTAAGCGTGTAAACCATTTTAATGCGTGAGAGAACGTAACAATTTTTGTATTTGTATAGAGTAAGTCGAATAACATGTATGCTTAAACAGTACAGTGAAACCTCGATTACGCGAACTAATCGGAATAATACCGCTAAATTGATTGACATTTCGATTAATCAAACGCAAATTTTTAATTCTTTTTTTTTTTTAATTATATTTTACTCGCTACTGTATCCTGAAAGTAATTTTGTCTTCGTTTTGGTATTTGTCAATCCTAAAGTCTTTTTGAATTATGTTAAAATGTTTCAGAGTAAAAAGAAACTTTATACCTGTAAAGTCAAGATGGTTATGGTTGTAATAAGACGACTAAGCGGTACTTCAATAATCGAAAATTTGATTAAGTACACGGATAATCAAAAATCGAATTTAGTAAATGATCGAATAACGTCGAAGTTCTACTGTACATTTATTTAAATCAGCGGATGTAATTAATCAAATTCTCAAGCGTTTCGTTTTGTCTCCAGTATCGCGTAGCCGTTCTTCCAGAGAGCGCTGATTGAAAACGGGAGACTCCGGATACTTCTTGAAGAATCTCGAAAGGAGTAGACTAAATCTGTTAATTTTATATGAATTTGAATCTTACTAATTCATTTCGCTTTTTAGTTACCACACGGACATCTTTTATAGTATAATTGCATTTTAATTCATCAATCATGAATGAATGGATTATTGTTATCTTAATAATTCGTTTTTAACTTAGTCCCTAATGTATTGAACTTCGACTGAATGCAATGTTATAATTGCATTCCTTTGATTTGAAAGTGTTTGAACAAATTATACTTAGTTAATTAAATGTACCTTACGATTAAGGTCAGTCTGCATTTAAAGATATTAGTTTAAGATCATTAGTTTCATACTTTTTTAATAGTCTTCCATAGAGAGTATCCGGTGTCTTGAAATTTTTTTATTCGCCCACATAAAAATAAGAAATACGCAACGAGAATGAAGATGTCATTTGAATCACCAGTCAAATTGTTTCTCCTTGTAACACTGCCTACGTTATGGCTACTAGAATACATCGATCGACAATGCTAATTACGCGAACCGGGATTTCTCTCCTTTCTGTCCGATCACCCTATTTTTGTTGCATCGTTTCTACCTGTGATAAACTAATCGACTTTTCTGTCAACTTCAGAGAAAAAGAGAGGGTGAGAGAGGGTGGGTGGGGAAAAAAACATGAGCGATCGTACGAACGAATCTTTGCGAGACGAGAAGTACTAAGTGTATAGATTTTTTACTATGATCTGAATCAATTTCTAGTTTGTCAAGTAAAAATATTCAATGAAATATTATCTGTAAATACATAATCATTTTCAAGAAATCACATTCAACAAGGTAATTTAAAATTCGTATATAATGCTTTAGGAGGATTTTTAGCCTAATTACCTACAATTTTTGTTAAGTACTTCTGATTCTTATTAAATGAAGAATCAAGTATTACAAAGACTGTTTTATCTATTATAGGCGTACAGTTAAATGTCAATCATTTAATCTAAAAGCTATATGTAATATTTAATTATAAATTTTTATTTAATTGCATTATTTTCTATCTTAGACATATTTACTACTATAAACTAGAATGGAATTAATATAAATAATGAATGTTACATGTGATTTCTTCAAAATTTAAGTAATTATAGGCAATATTTATACAATTTATTAACACCTTAACTACCAAGGGAGTTGTATGTGTCACCCAAGTATAATATATAACAATAAAGTACACCCTGGAGTTCAAGTGTTAAGGAATATCATGAACTATAGATTGATAAGTGTTTTGTTAAAAAAGTTTTACACCTAGAACTTCTCAGAATCTTATTAATCATTGGATGTTTAAGTTGATGAACCATCAGGATATGAAATCGATGTTTTATACGATATGTATCATAGTAACATTTATGTCTAAGTATTTATATCTATATTTATTTTTAGTTCTTTCTCGTGTAAAGTTATTCCTAAATGATCGACCAACGTACTGATTCACTAATACGAAATTTTAATATCGCTTTATACATTGATATAAGACCGATGATAGAAATAAAAAAGACTATTGAATCAAATAGTTCTTTTAAAAATTTGAAATCGAACTTGTCATTTTATATTCTAACTAACATTCTCTGGTATTTCTTGTATTCGAAAACAGTCGCTTACAATTTTCCATTTATCTCCCATGGCAGTAATCAGAAAGCTTTGATTAAATGGTTTTAACGCTTTATCATCATATCTCACTTGTCCTCCAACTTTTACAAGGAATGTCAGTTGATTTGCCACTTCAGGACCTATTAACGAATAATTTGATGTGTGCATAAACTTTAACGATTAGTAAATAAAATACGTAAATAATTACAAGCATTCTTGAAAAATCACTTGGAAAAGCTTTTACCTGTTATTGGTTGAGCGTCCAAGACGAAAACATTATGGACGGAAGGTGGTAAATCTGTCCAAAATTTTTGTATATTATCTTTGCCTTCGATACCGTTTCCATTCCAAATTAAAGTTGCAGTATCCAAATACAATCTTGATATATGCTATAAATAATTTCAAACAATTTATTATTTTCAATCGTTTAATTCTGTTAATTCATAAACTAATTACATTATTTACTTATTTAGTAATTAATAATCTGTCCTCTATGTATATAACTTATAATTTACTTGTTTGAATCATTAATTTCAGAGATTCATATCACTCACATATCTGCGTTTGTCTAAACTTTCATAATAAAGCTTTGTAAATTCTTCAGCCGTTCGGCAAGCTTGATCAATTTTAGATTTCAAATCCTGTAGAATAGTAAATGACAATTATATTGTATAATTTTTACTTACGGTAAGGGAAATAATATTTCTTAAATACCTGATCCATTTTTAATAATTGTCCATTAAATCAACTTTAAAGAAGTTCAATACTTTCTTCTTTGTAGTTTCGCAAGAAACGTAAATATAACCCCTAGAAAACAAACAAGATTTTTCAGAATAAACATTTAAAAAAAATGTAATCGTGATGTTTTTATAAATTTAATAACTTGTGTATTCCAAATTATAAACGAAACGAAGGAAATAAATTAATTCTTTACTTTCTTAATAATAAAAATAGTAGAAATATTGCATTTTCTACTCAAGGCAGACTAGGTTAACACCTTAATGCTTGTCTTTTGACCTTAAAAAGAATCAAAAAACATTTCCATTCAAGCTTTTTAAAATTATCTGCGCTTGAAAATCTTAATTGAAATCAATTTCAATTATATTTTATAAATAAAAGTTTAATCCTTCAATTGATCATTTATATACAAAAAGCAGTCAACTATTCGAAATATCTTTAAGGCAAGTTTGTAGTATAGGCAGCGTCTTCAATCATAAAATATTCAAGCTCACTTGTAAACTAAACCTTGACTTTAGGCCCTCTAGATCTAGTAATTTTAAATCCATACGAGGCCATCTATATTTTAACCAACAAAAAGATGAACTTTAGCAACACAACTATGTGCCATAGCTAATTATTTTTAAACGGATGATTGTGTTCCAGTTTCTTTTCGTCGTTTGTTTAATCTTTCCATTTTTAGATCTGTTACATGTCAAAAGTACGATACACTCCTGACCATAGATGGACCAACGAAATTTTCTTGCTGTCACGTGATTTTATTTACATAAAGTTTAAGTTGAATTTAGACAAATTGTATTTTACAGAGAAAAAGGTTAATTTAATTCGTACCTATTATGATACGAAACATAGAATATTAAAATTACTGCGAACCATCTTCGTTATAACAAATTTTTTACTGATAGATTACAATTTAATATTAATTCAATTCGAAGGGTGCCAAAGTATTATACTCCTTTCAACATTTTTTAAAGAAAGTAATATTTTCTAAAAACTGTAGTACATAATCAATCAAGAACAATCTTTCTCTTATATTTAGTATATCATAAATAATTAGTACAATTTATTCTTAGTAAAAAGTATAAGTTTCGAAAGTTTTGTACCGATAGTATCATCAATGGTCATTTTACAATTGCGTTCAGTTTTTTAATGAAAATCCTAGGTATTGCTAGTAACTTATCGCTCAGGACCATATTCTCTAGAGATAAATTACACATCTGAACGATAAATTTTCCAGAAATTGTTATTGTTTTCTTTGCATTCCATTCTTAGATCTTAGAGGGAATTGCATCGAAGGAAGCAATAAGATTCCATACAGTGAACATTTAATCGTTACATATTATTTACAATAGTAAAAGTTTGTGATTAGAAAATCTAATTCGCTCGTATAACAAGATCTCCTCGTATCGTCGTTAATTCTCGATAAAATTGTTTTTGTTGGCAAGGAATGTTAATTACAAATACGGTCACGGTGGAGCTACAGGAGGTTTCTATTCTGCTTCGTTTCCAGAGGCTTTCGTAGCCCGCGGATGAGAGCGATCGCGAGATCTTGCCGTGTTCTCGCGGGGTCACGTGACTCGCGGTCAGACAGTTATTTTTTTAGGCATGATGGCGCCAAACAGCAGTATCCACATTAATGTAAATATAATATCGATTCGGTGCACCGCGCGAGGAAGAAAGCCATCGGGTGTTCTTACGGAGGCTATTTGAGGGCGTCGAGCGAGCTCGACAGGAGCCCTCGGCCCAAGAAGTGAGTAAAACCGAGCTGGTCGCGGCTGCGACTCGAATTGCTAATGAGGACATCTTGGTTAGGCTGCCGTGACAGAGGCGTACTCGGACTACTGCCATCTCGAAGCTACCGATCGAAGAATAATTCGATCTTTACGGATCAGACGTACCGGCTATTATTCGTCACGTGCATCATCGCGCGCGAAATCACCCTCTCCGTCGATAGATCAATAATAAGGCATTTACTGCCTTCCGACCATCTCTATCTTTGTCTCTCTCTCACATTCTTGCTCTCTCTTGCGCGCGCGTGCGTGTTCATGTTTGCGTGTGCGTGTCGAACCTGTGCTCGCGTGTTCGTATCCGCATCGTGTGCGTGTGCATTCACGTTCGTGCGTAACTGTGTATACACGTCGCGTGTGCGTATTTACTTACACTCGTGTGCATGTGCGTTCGTAACCGCATACGTGTTGGTTCAGATGTGTATACGTGTGCGTCGAGATTCGTGTGCGAGTCGAGCCTGTCGCCATCTGTATTGTCAATGTTGTCGGCCAGCAGGAGCACCACCAGCCCAATGGACCCGTGAGCATTTTCGACTCTCCGCCCGATCTTCTTCTAGACGTCTATTCTCGACCGCGAGTCTCGACTTCCACGTGTCGAGTCATCGAAAGTCTTACGGCGATCCTTCACGGTCGAGCCTCGGCGCCGCTCGAGCGTCGCCGCGGAGTAACTCCGTCGCAATGTTTACATGCCACCCGCCACGGCGACCAGTTTCACCAAGATCCTTGTGCATTTCCAACTACTCGGGGCCTTATAACGTCACGGACAAACCATTTCGTTTCAATTATAATTCTTCCTGCTGGACTGCCCCATTTATAACCTCTCCGCGGCGGCCATCGAGGATCAACGGCCGCAGACCCCCTGCAATACAATCGGTCTATACCATCAACCCTTTTGTCCGATTTTTATGCTCTCGAACGTTTTTTGCGTCGATAGATTCCTCACACGAAGTTTTCAGTGTCATTAGTTCTCGTAATTGTGAATCTGTGTTATCGAATACTCCTCACCATGAGTGTTACCTTTGTAAATTTATCATGTGAAGGAATGCTTTGTGTCTTGCGCCTGTGATTACTGTGTAATACTGATTGCTATGTACAATTCGTATTCCTCCTCTGTGAAATAGCTATCGCAGTTAGTTTTATGAGTTCTGTTACTGTATGCATCATACGAAACGCAATCGGATAGTTGCGTTCCATGTGTTTTTTTTCTACGCGGTTGGTGCTGTATATCACTGCTATGTTTACTATCATTTTAAATGTTTACATTTGTCATGCTTCACGTGTATTTTTGTGAACAATTATCAATTTTTGTTTATTCTATACAGTGTGTCAAATGTCCATTCTGTGTACTGTTTTGTTATCATTTTGATTTCATTGTGCTACAAAGATTGTATAATAGCATGAAAGCTTTGTTTCGTGTAATATTTTTATTAAATTTATATAATGTTCTACGAGTAGTTCTTTATTTATGGAAAATTATCAATTTTGCACATGGAATCACTTATAGTGCAGAGACAAAGTCATCTTTTGTTGTAATATACTTCAATTTAATGTTTCCTTTTTGTCTTAAATAGATCAAAAATATAACTGTACCTTTCTTGTTACAGCTCTGAGAGGAATCCGCTTTCTAGATAATAAATACATGGACGACTATGTAGTGAGTAGTCCAGTAAATTTTTTTTTCATTTATTTATTTTTATTACTTTGATAATTGTGAACAATGAAACCTTTTAGGGTGCGCGCGGCTCACCTGCACGTGCCACGTATCGCTAGCTCACTTGGTATAGTAGAATGGCACAGCGAGGCAAACGAATAAATAGAAACGACAATGATTTGGCGTCTTGCCCAGGCGCAATCAAAAGGCGCAAATGTAGGCTGGGTCCAGCGACGGGTACGACGTCGCTGGCAGCTACCATGGGCCCCTCAGAAGAGGAGGAGACGATGGCGTCGTCCAGTCAAGGAGGGGCATCCTGGACCCCCAGACCTCTCAGTGACATCAAAATCTCTAGTATATACAATCGCTCCTCCGCCGAGGCTCCTGCAGAATTATTTCGTAAGGATTTGATCAGCGCCATGAAATTACCTGACAGCGAGCCGCTAAGTCCCAATGAATATTGGGTTATCACCGATCAGTGGAAGCAAGAATGGGAGAGAGGTGTTCAAGTACCTGTTAACCCAGACTCCCTTCCTGAACCTACAGTTACTATCACGCAGGCAGCACCCGTAAAACAACACACTGAATTCAAACTGTAAGTTTCTTAGAAAATTTAACTTTCCACAAACTAAGTTTTCAACTTGAGAAACCGCGCTCTATAATTTTTTTCAATTTTCACGGGCAGGCTATTATCGCATTTATGTCTGAATATTTTCTTGTCTTTGTATCTGTATTATTTTTATTTTATCGACTTCATACCCTATGTATTTTTTAATAGAAAAATCACAAAATAGCTCTTGGCTGAAGAATTAAACAAATCGTACTTAAAATTTTAAAGAAGCTTTAAAAGTCTTAAATAAGTTGTTTTTCAATAATAAGATTCTATGTAATCCCAATTATTAAGTACAAAAGTATATTGATACTAACAATGATCTGGTAATTAGTAATGTTGTAAGAATTAGGTCAGTAGTGAAATAAAAATTTGTACCACATGGATATGCATGTACATTTTAATATCTATATACATACGTGGATTTGAGAATTCATAAAAATGAACAAACCATTCGAAAAAAACTACTTGTAATTTGTTAAATGAGTATCAGGATTGTATAGTAAATTTCAAAAGAAGTGGATGCAGTGCATCAAGAACATATTTTATTGCATAAGTATTATTTAATTTTGACTAGTTCTAATAGTTTTTGTTGATCATAATGTTTCCATAGACCTAAAAAATTCGTAAGGATATCTCGCGACGATTACTTCAGTCCTGAAGATCATCATTTAAGCACAACACCGGCACGAGCAGAAAAAGCTTGTGCTTATGACCTTGATGACACTGATATAGCTTGGTTGGATGTGTTAAATGGCGAACGTGCACAGGTATATTTAAAATTCAGTAGTTCCAATTTTCTCATAAAATTCAAATAATTTTCAATACACTTCTAATTATAAGTAAAGTAATTACCGCTTGCAGTTGACCATATCTAACTATTTCTTTACCAAATAAAAAAGTATTTCTATTTTTATTGGACTTTATACTTCTATCTTTACCAAATGTCAATTAAAAATTTTATGTAATTGCTGGTATAATGGATGTAATGATTTGTATTTCTTAGATGTATTGGTATTTGAAAATTTAGTTATTATAAATTACTTCATTAACATTAACATTATCTATATTCTAATTGTTGTGTAGAAGTTTACATTGAATTGTATAATTAAAAGCAGACTTACCTTTAACTTTCATCTCGTAATATAAATATAAGAGCAAATGTGTAATCACAATTTTTCAGAATGTAATTTAAATAAATATAATCCAATATTGAACGATCACATTTTAGTCTGGTCAGTTGCCAATCACGGAAACACAATTGGAGCGCGTGATAGAGGAACTGGAAGTTCGTTGTTGGGAAAGAATACAGACTATTGTAAAAAACGAGGAAGGTCTTGGTATCGAGTATGACGAGAACGTAATCTGTGATGTCTGTAGATCTGTAAGTGCCTTCCCGATACCTTCGTGAAGTAGAATCGATCAAGTTAAAATAAATGAGTAAAAGAAACAAAATTTTTCATTAGCCTGACTCCGAGGAAGGGAATGAAATGGTATTTTGCGACTGCTGCAATATATGCGTGCATCAAGCGTGTTATGGAATTACTTCGATACCGGATGGTTCCTGGCTATGCAGAACCTGTTCTCTAAGTCAACGACCAGATTGTGTTCTCTGTCCTAACAAAGGTGGTGCTATGAAGTGTACTCGTAGTGGCCAAAAGTGGGCTCATGTCTCTTGTGCTTTATGGATCCCTGAAGTCAGCATTGGTTGTGTCGAAAGAATGGAACCTATCACTAAAATATCCAGCATTCCGGTACATACAACATACTTATATGTGAATAATAAGCTTATAAAATAATCCCACTTATTTTGCGTTTAAAGAATGAATTGTAATTTATATCGAATACTGTATACGCGAGTAATTACATAGAACTATAATTACAGCAAAGTCGATGGGCCCTGATATGTGTGCTGTGTCGAGAAAGGGTCGGTGCTTGCATCCAGTGCAGTATAAAGACATGCAAGACGGCTTATCATGTGACGTGTGCCTTCAAGTATGGCTTGGAAATGAAGGCAATCATCGAAGATGAAATGGCCGACGATGGAGTAAAATTAAGGGTACTTCGAATTTACTCATAACATTATTAAAACAGACATGAAATATGTTTTAAGAATGTTAGTATAAGTAAAGGGGGAGGGGTGATGGAATGTATTTTTTTAACTCTGTAGATAATAGCAATAATAATGAGACATATATTGGAAAGCTGCTAGACAGTACATATAGAAAATCGTGTAATTTGAACGAGAAACCTATTGTTTTTGGAAATTTTTTAGAAAGAAAATGTAAAAATTCAATTTACAGTCATACTGCCAGAAACATAGTAGAACGAATACGAAAGATAAAGTTCAAGGCGCGGGAGGCAATATAGGAAGCGGAGCTGAGAAAGCAGGATCGGACTCTGAAGACGCAGAATCCAGAAGGCGCAAGAGGAAAGATATGACTTCTGAGGAGAAAAATCAAGCTCGTGCTGCAAAGTATGTATGCTCCTTTTTACTACTCTACAGTTTTTTTATTACTTCTCCATTCTATAAATCGCTTTGAGAACTAATCTTTTATGCGATAATATCGACGAGATTTGCTGTTATTATTAACATTGTTTTTCTTTTTTACTAGATTGCAAGAAATCGAAGCAGAATTCGATAAACATGTGAGTTTGAAGGATATTGCTTCGCAGCAGTTGGACGTGGATCCCGAAGGCATTGTCTACATTTATAATTATTGGAAACTAAAAAGAAGAGTAAGTGATGTTTAATATACCGATCAAAATCAATACGCTTTTTTTTATCAATGACTAGTTTGTGCTGGTTTTATCAGTTATTTAGCATTAGTTTATCGATCTTAACCATTAATTTGCAATGTACATAAAGGTAACCGAAGCTTGTTAGAAATGTATTCCTATTTTTATTTTCATCATTGATTAAGTGAAACGTGTTTAATTTATCAATGTTCAATTTCATAGGCTGGTCACAACAAGCCATTACTGGCACCACGTTGTGGAGAACTTTCTGGTAGTGGATCGCGTAATCAGGGACAAGCTGCTGATCTCGAAAAGATGAGGACGTTCGTTCAACTACGTCAAGATTTGGAGAGAGTCAGAAATCTGTGTTACATGGTCGGCAGAAGGGAAAAACTTTGCCGATCTTTCCTTAGATTGCGAGAACAAACCTTTCATAAACAAGCTTTGGTAATGTCTGGCCCACCATTACCGTCAGCTGCTGCCGCTGCTGTAATGGAAGCCAATCACGGGCCTTCGATCTATGATCGGCTGTATTCTCATCCCGACTCGGAAGATCACACTCACGACTTTGACTTAATTGTTGCCAGAATCGCTGGTATAGATTCACCGACCAGCGACGAGAAGAAGCCGCAACAACAGCAACAACAACAACCTCCCCAACAACAACAAGACTTCAATGGTGCCTCCAGTAAAAAGTTGTATTTCAACGGCTCCGTCCGAAGAAAGAACCTCTACGGCAGTGATCTATCGTCCGTCAGTAGCAGTGAAACAGATGCGACGAAGGTGAAAACATCGGAAAAATCGAAGAACTTGAAGCTGGAAAGTGAGTCAAGCACAGAAGAGGAAACCAACGTTCCGTCGAAAACGAAGTTATCGCGTAGAAAGACAAAAAAGACTGCTCAACAAGTGGACAAGTTGCATTCAACGCTTAAAGAGAACAGTGAGAACGAGAAACTCGTGAACAGTAGATCGCACACACTTCAACACATGGAAAAGGAGTTAGGAAGCGCTTCCGGTAGTGAAAGTGACGAATTGCTGCCGTTGAGTGCCGGAGGTACGAAACACGTTGTTGCTTCAGCCATTTATTCAGACACCGACTCCGATTCTCAAGAACACGCGTCTCATTCGGCAGTGCTAATCACGAAAGCAGCCGTCAAGGAATTTTCCGCGGCGAACCTGTCGAAAAATTCGCAGAAGAGCTTTGGTAAAGATTCTAGGCACACGGAGTCAACGTATCACAATACAGGAACGAAAAATAAAGAAAATCAAAGTAAAGGCGGTGCTAAAAAGAAGGAGTACATACCATCCGCGTTGATCGTGCCGCAAAGACAGGCCGCGAAGAAAGCATCCGAAATTATGCAACGTACGCAACAAACCAAGAAGGACAATTCAGTGCCCGAGGTTACGTCAGAAGCGGTTACATCTCCCGTGGAGGAGCTTCCTAAATGTTCCACGAAACAATCAAAAGAGAAGAGTCCGAGCAAGAAGCAGAGAGAGAATAAGCCGTCGAAAGAAACAAAGAATAACGATGTGTACGATTTTGATAAGGAATTTGGAGATGGAACGGAGATCTTGGCGTACGTACCTCAAAGGCAGGCTGCAAAGAAAGCTGCAGAACACATCAAGAGTGGAATGGGTACTAAGCCTGCTACGCAAATCGAACAACAAGAAAATCCCGATGGACGGTCGAAAAAGGAATCTCCAGAGAGTGGTAAAAGAAAGGAACCTAGGAAGGAAGATTCTTCTTCTAGAAAAGACGAACTTCCTTTAAGGAAGGAAGAAACTTCCTCGCCATCGTCATCTTCTTCTTGCTGTTCTTCATCCTCTTCGTCTTCTTCATCGTCGTGTTCTTCTTCATCCTCCTCGTCATCTCGGAAAGAAGTTTCGTCTGGTAAAGAAGAATTGGTCGCGAAGAAGGAAGAGCCCTCGTCCAAGAAGGAAGAAGTTCTTTCGAAGGACAATTGTTCCAGGAGACCTAGGAAACCAAGTGAACGAAAATCTGTACTCTCGAGTAACAGCGACAGTAACAGTAGTAGCAACAGTTGCAGTAGCTCCACTGGAAGCAGTAGCGATTCCGAGAGTCCGGCACGTAGGAGACTCTCGAACGAACTTAAGGAAGCTTCTGCTTCCACTACTTCCTCCGAGAGCGACGCTGGTAACAGAACGAAAACAAAAACGACCACGACAATGGTTGCTGCCGCGGCAAATAGAAAGCAACATCCTAGTAAAACGTCACCAGACCAAGAAGCTGACAAGAAACCAATCTCAGGGCGGAAACTCAAGAAGCTGCCCGAGAAGAAGCTTAAAACTTCCGACGGGCGGCGGGGACCAGAGTTTCAGCCGCCTTCTGAGAGAGAGGAACCTCGTAGAACCTCCAAGGATCAACATCAACAACAGAAACAACAGCAACAACAGGAGGCAACTGTCAAGAAGCAGGATCAAAGAGACAATAAAAAGCAACAACCACCAGCAGGAACGGAGGGTAATGAGGATCTGCTCACTGGGGCTGGAGATCATGATGGGTCGAGAAGTGTTTCTGGGTCCAGACCTACCAAGAAGTCGAGTCAAGCTGCTAAACAACAATCCTTATCAAGAAAAGAGGACAACAAGAACAAGTCTGAGGGTAGAAAACGAAAACCAAACGAGTCCGTCGCTAAAGATGAGAAGAAAGAAACGGTTAAGAAGCCGGAGAAACGGTTGAGCGAGAAACAACCTTCCAAGGAGACCGAGAAGAAGGACGAAGAAGAGAGTAGAAAGGACGAACAGAAGGTTATCGATCTAGAGAAGAGCGACGAATGTACGGACAGTTCGTCGAAGAACGACGAGAAGAAAGTTAAGAAGCTCGCGGGTAAAGACGCGGTGAATATCTTGGAGGAAGAGATGAAACAACGCAGAGCTGAGAGGGACAGTCCGAAGAAATCGTCGAGAGGTTTGGACAAACTTCTGGAGAAACGCGAACATCTGGACAAGATGTCCAAGAGCAAGAATGCGGAAGTTAAACAGGAGATGACCGTTTGCGAGGAAGAGAAAGAAGAGAAAGAGCCCGTGGAAGAGATTCAACAACCGAAGGAAAGTATAAAGGACGAGGATCGTAAGAACCATGTGAACGAGGGTGTTAACACGATCATCGAGAAACCGAAAGTCGAAGAGCAGTTGGAGGAAGAAGCGATAAAGAAAGACATCGCCGAGGCGCCACAACTGGAGAAGACTACATGTGGAAAGAAAAAGTCCGAGAGAAGTTTGGAAACCACCATCGAATCACAGACTACGGAGATTCTCGTTCCCGTGGAGGAGAACCTTCAGAAAGAAATCATCGAAGAAGACCCCGCCAAGTCTGTCGTGGACAAGATAGAAACTTTGGAGAAGGAGCATCAGAAGAGGCGGAAGTCCGGGAATCGATCGATCTTCTCGCCACAGCACGGCAAGGATCCAAGCGTGTCGGAATTGTTCGATTTCGATCAGGACATGCTCACGGAGGAGATGGTGAACGAAGACGGTTTCGGTATATCGAGGGATCCAGAGGAGCGAGCCGCGCCGTTGAGTTTCTCTTTCAACAACGAACTGTGGTTTAAGGAAGACTCGAAGGAGGACAGCGCCAGGGAAACTCTGCATCTCGTCGAAAAATTGCGTATGGAGCTCTCGAAGAAATCAAATTCTAGTCAGTTCGAGTTAGAGGCAGTACCTGTAGACAGCGAAATAAAAAAGGAAGATCCAACGACAGAGAAAGCGTTCGAGCAACAACAGCTGCAGCAACAGCAGCAACACTTGCAGCAGTCGCAACAGCAGCAGCATAATCAGCAATTAGAGAAAGAGACAAAGATTCTCGAACCCGCGGAATTAGTTTTGGATGCGAAGAACAGCGTCGAGATGCCCGTAGAAGAGGTAGCTATTATTGAAGCCCGTCCCGGTAGCTGTAAAGACACCATCGAGGAGAAAAGAAAGACATGCTACACCAGCAGTAACGATAGATACACGGCCTACGAAGAGGATCGCGAAACGAACAAGGTCAGTCTGGTGGAACGATCGAAGCTGGACCGTGCGGAAACGGACGAGAGATGGGTTCCTCCGAGCATCAATAGTTTCGAACATAGCGACGTGCAACACCTGAACGCTTTAATGGAGACCCAGAATCATCGATACGGCAACCATCAGTTCTCCAACGAGTCCATTCAGGAGAACGAATCGCTCACTCGTTCTCATTTGAACGCGGCGGCTATGCAGGAACAGTATCTTCTGCAGCAACCGCACACGCTGCTCCACGGCCAGCAAGAATCCCACGAGAGGACGATTCTCGATCAACAAATCCCCGACGAGAACCCTATGGAAATGATGAACAGACATCTGATCGGATTGCCAGCTTCGGAGGACGATCAGGCAGCCGAGATGATGGATAGAGTGCTCGAAAAGGAGGACGATGTCGTCAGGCAGCAGGAATACGATCAGAATTCTCCGTACAACGACGTAAACGGCCGACCAGACACCAGATGGGCGGAAAGCCAAGTTCTGCCGTCCCGTAGATCAACGTCTTCGTCGATCACTTCCGCTTCCTCCGCGGAGGATCATTCCATTCCACCATTCAAGAATGTCCCGAGCATTTCTTTTCCGCCATGTTCCATGGAACCGACGTATTACGCGGACTCGAGTTACGGCACGGGTCCTGTGTCGTTGTTCCCGCCTCAATCTTGCGCAGCCCCGTTGCCATACCCTTCTCCCGGACCAGCCCTCTTTCCGCCCGCGTTCGGGGCAGCTTTTCCAGCCGCGCAGTCGTTGTTGCCACACGTAAAACCGCTCGAGGACTCGTTAAACCTGCAAGCCTCTCCGTGCACCGCTGCGTTCACGTCTTCCTCGCACAATATGGCGCTCACCGCTGCCATGGTCTCGCCCACAAAGATAGCCACTCCACCACCGCCGCCTCCTCCACCGCCTCCCCAGGTCGCCCCACCCGTCGAAACCATCGATAGGACGCAACAACAACCGCAAACGCAGGTCACCGACTCGCCATCTCTGCCTATCAACTTCTTGAACACCGTCGCTCCAGAGAGTCACGTTGCCGATCCGATCGTCGAGACCCTGCAAGAAGCCTTAACCGACAACAAGACCCAACACCCCGGGAAGAAATCGCCTTCTAAGCCTACCAGAACCTCCGCTCGAGTGACGTCGCTGCAAGGAAAGTCGCCAGGGAAGTCCCCGCGGCAGGAACCCCAGAGGACGGTCTCTGGAGCACGTGGACGTGGCAGAGGTGCCAAGAGTTCGGCCCAACACTCCAGTTACAGGAGTCGCGGGCGTGGACGAGGGAGAGGACGAGGCAGAAGCGTCCAGAACGCTGGGCTCTCGTTGGTCTCCGGCGCAATCGTCGGCCAGCACGATGATTCTATTCAAAACAAACTCGTGGGCACCGTCTACGACTTCGATTCCGACGAAGACTCCACCAGCGAGGCGAACATTGCTGACCTGCGCACCATGAGGGAAAGGAAGAAGTCTACTGATGCCGCGACCGCAGGCGTGGAGAGGAGAGACACCACCGTCGTGGCTTCAGAAGCGGTTCAGACGAAACTCTCCAGTCCTGGAGGCGCGAGGAAGTATCTGGAAGACAGGAGACTCTCTTGTTCTCCAGGTCGCGACGACTCCGCTATCGTAGAAAGCGAGTCAAACGCCGGGCAAAGCTTCGATGCCGTCCTACCACTCATTCCTGGCCCCGTCGACATGAGGACGTACAACTCCACCCTCGATGCTTCGAGCTCTTCCACGTTGCACGGTCAGACCTACGAGAACCATTTCCTGCGCACGTTTACCAGCGTCTCTACGAGCGACCCCGCCCTTCCGGATATCGAGGAAGACCTGGACAAAGAGCTGAGGTTGATAGGGAAACAGGGACAGGAGGACTGCTCGAAGCCGAGCTTCGATGCGAGCATCGACGCTTCGTCCTCCGGTTTCGTCGACGCCAACAAGGTCTCTTTGACGGACTCGAGGAATCAGCTGAAGGTCAAAATCAAAGGGCCGTTCTTGGACGCGAACTACGTACCCGCCTCGTCGGTACCGCCTCTGGCTCAACAAGCGCCTGTAATCATCGCTCCAGCCGCCACCAGTGCTTCTGTCGCGTCGGGCACCTCGAATCTCCGACGAATGAGGAAGAAAGAGCTGCTCAGGCAGTACTGTTCCCAGGACATGAACATGGACGAGCCAGGGTCTGGTAATCTGGCAACGTCCGCGCCGATCATCATGCCACCGATTAACCGCACGGTGATCACCATACCGAAGGCGGTGGCGTCTATGACCAGCATACCCACCAGAGAGGACTACAAGGCTGTCGTCGATGCCAACATGGAGAAGAAACGAAGAAAAGAAAGACCAGCAGGGTTCCTGGACGCCAACGAGGAGGAGGGACCCATGGAGAGACGGCGGGGTAGTGCTACTAACGGTGCCAGTTCCAGCGGCAACGTCACGGTCGGGAACACCGACCGTAGACGAGGCAGGCAGAGTAGCGGCGGTAGATCGACGACGACCACCACGTCGACCACCACCACGAACAGCGGCCCACCGAAACTCAAGATCAAGATCGGCAACAGCATAATCGGCGGCCAGGAGACCGGCCAGGATGACAGGACGAGGATCAGGCCTCCCAAGAAGCGGTTGAGCAGCATACCTAGCAGCACTCCTAGCATAGAGGAGCTGCGCAGGGAAAGCATGAAGTTCAGGCGTATGATCATGGCCGGTTTCGACAATGACGAGAAGCTCCGGGCGAAGAGTAAAAAGGACAAGAACGGTAAAAGGAAGAAACGACAGTCGAGCAGGAAAGAAGCCAGGGTCCGTATCCTCGAAGGTGGAGCTGCCCCGCCTAAGCTGATTATCAGATTAGGTAAAGGGAACGATTCGCCGGACGAACTGCCGATCCTGGTCACGGACGAAGAGGAAGAGGAGGAGGAGGAGGAGGAACGTAATCCAACCGACAGCAGGGTAGGGCCACCACCGCCTGAGCCTGCCAAGGACGAGACCGTTTACCCAGCGGTAGTCGCCACCATCGAGGAGAAGCAGCCTACGGATCCAAACACTGGTGGCAGCGCGCCCAGGAACGTTCGTTCGGCCAAGGTCACGCCAATCAGGTTAAAATTGACGCGTTGCCAGGAGGGCTACGAGCTGAAGGGCTCGCCTGTCCACGGCGAGGAGTCCGCTTCGACGACGGAGAAACCGCCGAGTCCTGAACCAACGAACGAGGAGACGAGGGATCCGCCGGTTAAGAATCAAGAGGAGGACTCCTCCAGGGAGGAGGAAGACGACGAAGAAGAAGAGAGCAATAGCAATTCCGTGCAAAGAGACTCCACCGCGTGTCCTGCCGCGACAAGTATACCGCAGGGATGCCAAGTTAGGTGATAATTAATGATACTCGTGGAGTAATGGAGCAGAGGACACGGTGCTCGTAACGATAGTTTTACGGTCGATCGAAACGGACTCGATACAATATACGCTTACCGGTTGCTAGCCGTGAAAGCGCGTTGCCGTGATAAGGTGGAAAAGCGTTCCGCAAGGTACAGTTTTCTTTTTACAAAACAAATAAAAATGAACGGAGATTTACGAGGAACGTCGAGCAACTAGGAATGTTCGGTTGAGAGCTTTGTTAAGATGACACTGTGCTGTGGCTGTATCGCCAATACTAATTCCATATACTAGTAATCTATTCTTCTATCCGTCTATAAAGTTGTATCAGCGGTAAATGTTATAGGTATCTGTTATACACATGGCGTAATATGTTTCTTTAACTCATAATTGTCAATTTACTTAAAATCCAATTATTTAGTCAGTTTCTTTCTTTTAAGTTAAAATTGTATTTCGTATTTACGTTTCAGCACGCTATACTTTGTTTCTCAGAGTGTTTACGGCTTCGTATATCCCACAGGTATGTTGATAGATATACCACGACGCACAATGTCATCTACATTATCTTTCATCCGAACGTTTTTAATTATTCCACGCTGATTTTAAAGGAATTTTCGCACTAACTCGGCTGTAGCATTCGGGAGGAGTGCTTGATTGTAACAAGGACTATTAAAATTCTAATTATGCTTAATAGATAATATAAATTTTTATTAAACTCTTATATTACACTGTTAAAGTATATGTATTTTTTTTTATAACGTTTATCCAAAAAGAATACCAATAATGTAGTGATTATTTGAAGGATATTCTTTATTTTAATACTTTATATTATTTATCTCAATAGCTCTCGAGTTCTCAATTTTTAAGAATGGTTTCATCACCCCGACTCTCTTCTCTCTTAAAAAAACATAACTGCCAACAACTTCAAAAAGTATGTCATAAAAATCAGCATGCAAGGATAAAACGATGTTCCTTGTTGTTCTCACGAAATGTCTTTATTTACGGTGACACACGTTGTTGGGTTTAGTGGAAAAAAAAACTGAACAAACGTGTTTCTTTAAAGAATTAAGATTGTGAGAATGAAAATCATTGATAATTATCGTTTCTGCTTTACAGATAATCCAGTACATGGGCGAGAAATTGATCGCGTTAAAAGGCCCAATGTTTTGAGAAGGGAAATAGTTAGGAGTGCGCGGGTACCCGAAACTTCCTATCAGAATCGAGTTACAATTGAAGAAGTTTCTTACTATGGAAGTACTCCAGTCTATTGCGAAAGTATTCGAACGATTATAGCCAAAACTTGTAGTAAACAGAATATGTAAGTTATACATGAAGATTTCAAGGTACTGCTGCGACTGCGATAAAACTCAAATATCGAGATTATATTGACAAAATTTTAAGTTGAAATTGAGCGACGCTTATTAGGAAAACATGGTGTACACAAAGGATAGGAAAATATTCGAACATGAATTGTTGTTGTGTTTTTTTTTTTTTTTGTTTTTTTTTTACATTAACATTTTGCTCGTTTGAGCGAGGCAGCTATTACTTTTAACGTCGCGCTGTTTGTTGTACAATCTGAGTGATACGAGGTCCCGTCACCGATGATCGAGTACTGTTTACTTCGGGTACCCGTAACCCTCTAACGACTATTATTTCTGCATTACAGATAATTCAGTTTTACGTACTTGTTAATCCAGAAAAACGCGTACCACAAAAAAATCGATGGTGTAAAAGTGTGTACGAAATCTTAAAACGGATAATAGTTGACACGTTGGCAGTATATAAATTTTGCGTATGACGTCCACTAAATCTAAAGTACGTGGGACATCTTTCGATACGGTATCTTTTATAATTTTGTGCAAGATAGAACGAAGTTGTAGCGAAAGAACTATTTATACTACGCTTTTGGTAATATCAACTTTTTTATCCTTCTTTAATAGTCTTACACGTTGAAAATTATTACATTTCTTTTACATTGTTAGCGAACGACTTTTACATAGAGTTCACCTTCTCACGGCGACGAGAAACGCGAAACGGACGCTCATTTCGGTGAGAAGGACAAGGTGATAGCAACTACTAAGATGTATACTCGTTTTCGACTCGCTTCAAACGGACATTCTCCGACGTTAACGAAGAACCTATGCTCCTCGAGGAATCCGGTTTTATTCTTAACAATACTCGAGAGATGAAACGGGCGTGCCATTTCGCGGCGATGACGACGAAATGTCTATGTTTTTCCTTGCGAAAGAACAGACGAAGAACCGGTCGGGGGCCGTTGACGAGGATTTCCGATGAATCTGCCACAAATTCGTCAGCTTGACGTGGTGAAGTTTGCTTTTGTCTCGTCTACAAATTGTATGAGAGAGAGAGAAAGAGAACGTGCGTGATTGCGTGCGTGGGTGCGGGTGTGTATGTATACGCGTGACTGGATAGAGAAAATGGACGATGGAAAACACGTCTGGTTGGGGAGTATTATTGTAACAACCTCGTACACGGTCTCGTCAACCACCTTCGTAGTAAGAACTAGTTAATTGTACATACTTGTAATTTACGATTGTATTTAGTTTAAGTCGATGACACGGAGAGTGGGAACGGATGAGAGATTGGGAGACTGAACGAACGTATGAGAGAATGAATGCATGTAAGAGAGAATTTTGTAATCAGTGCGAAGCTTACGTGATGGCTGTGTTTTACCACGCGGTCCGATCTTCCAGGCAATCCTGGGCCGCGCAGAAATGTTCGGTAACCCCTAACCGCTGGATCGCTCGAGTGTTCCCCCCGCCCCCGCCCCCGCTCCGAAAAAAACCACCCCCAACGAGGCCGTCGCTCGACATTTTTACGTAGTGAAAAATTAGTATAAACAAGACGGCTGAGCGAACGTGTACATCGGGCGGAGAAATCCGAAGAAAAATATAATTAAATACCGTCACGAGGACAATCCAGCTGCCTAGCAGCCTTTTTCAATGACATTAAGAATCGAGTAAACAATCGTATAGTCTGTCGCAATAGTCGTCCACGATTACGCAGTTGCCCGTAGAGATACACATAAATTTATATGTATATATACGCATAGCGTAACGCATTCATCATATCGATCAAAGCAAATTCGTAAGAACCGTTTAACGCACGCATTCTTCATCGTTTTTACGAGTTCATTTGATATTATATAGTATATATGTCGAAACGTCGTTCTGTTCTCTTTTTTTTTTATATATATATATAATATATATACATATATATATAAAAAGTATATTTTACACCGAGTACAATGTTAATAATTTATTTTTATTTAGTGTAAATAAGTTCTATAGACAAAATACGTTTTTTATACGATAGTATATAGAATATACATAGTTCGTTCGCTCTTCTGGGTTTTTACGGGTTTACTTTGAGAGGAACGGGCTATCTCGTCCGATTGCGTTGAAATACATCCGATTCCCTCGGGGACGGCTGCGTAATTACGGGGATTGCGCGCCCCCATTGGACATTCGTTATTTAAAATGACTATATGAGAAGGATATGCAACCGATCGTGAAAAAATTTGTCCTCGTTTGGAGCTCCGCCGCGGCGACAGTGACAGAGGAAGAATCCCTCGTTTCGCGGAGGAAACGTGACTTCCGCTTCCTCCTTCGCTGTGCGACGAAAACGTAACTTCTTCGCTCGGAATCCGGGGTTTCGGAATTTCTCTGCGCGGACCGGTGTACTTTCACCCTAGATCCAGTCAGTAAATCTCGTTACGTCCGCTGTTGCGTATTTATTGTTTTTTTTTTCTCTTCGTTACATAGTATGAATTCCGTTCAGTAAACTTTCAAAGTCGAGTCATGATTGAGAGGACCATTGAGGCGATGTACCTTACGCTACCTTTTCGAGGATTATCGTGTTTGTTCTAATGTAACTTTCTATTTTCTACATATTTTTAACAGATCCCTCTGGAAGCATTCGAGATACAAAAGGCTCTTGAGACAATAGTACGATCAATTTTTAATATTTTTTTTTTTAGTCGTTGTTTATTAATTTTTATAAATTATTGACGATCGGGGTCGACAATTCGACATATTTATTTCACTATATTGTACGCGCGTTTATCGTGACTTGGACGTACGAGATTGTAATACTTTCGATACGAGTTTTCATGTAACAGCGAAATATTGTTTTCCTTTTTTAACGTTTATAATGTATCTTGTAACTAGGCGTATATCTTTTTTGTTATTTATATCATTGATTTTATTAGCAATCCACGTTTAATCAACTGTGTGCGGACTCGGCAATGAAACGTTCATTTCGGTGAATCTGTAAATAATAATATTAAAAATGCAAAAGGAAAAAAAAGTGCAGATCGTGATTTCTAATCGTTTTTGTAATCGAGTTGACTGGTTCTAGGATCGAGAGAGATGTTAATATATACATTAGTAGTTAGAATCCTGAATTCTGAGAGGAGGAATAACGTTGCGTGTACTGGAACCCGGGGAAAATGAAAAACTCGCCGACGATAAGCGGAGCCTTAGCGGAGCCTATTATTGCGTTGTGTACAGAGAGGGAAAAAAACGTGAAGAGAGCCAAGCGGAAATCATTTTATTTCGAATCGTTTCTTACTTACGCTAAGCATAGAAAACCCGATAACGACGAATTTCTCATAATCGTTGTACGTGTCCGCATGTATCATAAGTGAGGACGCTTACGACGACCCAGACACATACGTGAGACACATATATAAATATATAAATATATAAATAGTTTTATTATATTGCAAAGTGAAATAATACAATATTTAGCTACTGTATATAATGTAAAAGAAAAAGCTGGTCTTGTAAGATACGGATTAAGGTGTTTTAATGTGCACATAGCCGCGTCATTGTCAATAATCATATTATTACGATTAATAATAATTACAGTTTTTTAAAAAAAAAAAAACGAAAATTGTTGAATTGCATCACGTTTGATTGTATTCTTCAACCCTCCGATAGGAAACGTAGTGATGATAAAAGAAGATACTTTTTACTATCGATTTCTACGAAAATTAAATTCCTTTTTCTGTTTATTCGATCTTACGCTATTATTTTTCAAAAGTTCACGAACTGGTATTACGATACTGAAAGTACCAATAGTGTATACCGTAAAGTTAATTTATAGAAACGAGATAATATGAAAAGAATCTTTGACAAGAATTATAATGATATTGAATATATTAATTACTTGTAAAAAGGACATCATTACATTAAATAGAACATTTTTCCGAAGGAAGTGTTTTCTTTTTTGAATGCGCGCTTACTCGTACGCAATCTCAGTACTTTATGTAATTTACCACCAGAAGGTGCTGACGATATATTTGAAATTTTTAAATTAGACTTTGTACTACGTTTAATTTAGTGATACGTGGTCGTCCTGTCAAAACAAACGGTGACATTCTTCGTTTGGAAATTAATTATTTAATTAGAATTCAAAACAATATGAAGCCTACTTTAGTGGCAGATGAAATGTTTCCTGAGGGCGCAGGGTCATACATTGAATTGGAAGAGGTACTCGTATTACTTTTGATGAGGTTATGTTCGTATTGTTATTTACACATGGTGAAACATTCGAGATTATTAAAAATTAACTAAATCCTTGTTGGTATTTTTTCAATTTTAATTACAGACTAATGATAGTATGTATTAACGAAAATACTTGTTTTAGGTTGGAGGCAGCCGTTTACTTGTTGATCTTACTGCAAGTGAGAAAGCAGTACACTCGGATTTCTTCAATGGTATTTAATTATTTAACTTAAATTCTTACTGTAACGCTCTATACACAAATGGGAATTGATCTTCTATTTTTTAGATTTTGATGATCTGTTTGATGATGATGACCTCGAATAAAGTTTGAACAAGTTGTATCGGCAGTGCTATGAAAGGATATAGGGTATATTTATTTAAAATCTACTACTTATTGCAAAGTATCAAGTATATCAAATCTAATCCATAAATCTATCTAATATCTTTTATTTGAAATGATCGGGTAACAATAATAAACTTTGAATTAATATAATATATGTAATATATGTCTTATTTTTGTATTTTTACAAATATCCATAAAAATTTGAAATTAAGATAATAATACCTCGTAATATTGTGTACTTATAAATAAAAAAAAATTTTAATTGATTATAATTGAAACCTAAATATGCGAAAATCAGTATTGAATAAAAAGCAGTTAAATGTATAAAGGAAGAAAAATTAATATACACAGTACGTTAACATTATTACAATTTATTATTTTTAGTTCGAAATTGAATCAGACGTGTGCCCGTGTTCAAAATACCATTATCTTGGTACGTTAGCTTGGGCGATATTAATTATAAACGTGCCATAAGAAAATGAGTACTGGTCATAATGTCTCGTACACATTAATATCGATATCATTGTAAAGATTATAATTTACAATACATAGATGCTAGTCATATAAACCTGTTAAGATGATGCACAATTAAAATAGCACCCCGGTTTTCAGTCGCGCCGCATAATCATAGATCCTGTAGATCGGTATGCATCGAAAGTCTCCTTTTTTCAGATGAAACGAACTGAAGCCGTTTGAGTTTTATTTCTGCGCGATTTGTTCCTTCATTTTTTTGTTTTTCTCCTTGGCCCCAATCGACAATGAATTCCACCTTTTGACCATCCTTATCTCACATTAACAGACTTTTATCAACAGTAGCAACCAAGTTCCCCTTTTAAGAAAATCTCGATTACCGTTATTCGTGCGCATCTTGACTGCGTACGAGAATGACGTTCTTGAGAGCGATATCGATGACGACCATGTCGAATACGCTGCTAATAGTGACGAGTATCCTAGAAAAATGTAATTATCGTCATATTTGAATGCAAGTTAGTCAATATAAAGGTTTCGATGTAGTTTACATAAATGCATACCAACCCTGAGTCCAGCCCCGAGAAGATCGTTCGGAGTGCTAGTTAACTTCGAGATCACTATCGGCTTGGTCGTCCTGATCACTCTCCTCCTCCTCATCTTCTTCCTCGGAATAATACTGCGAGGGCGGCGATAGAACATCCTCCGAAAGCGAAGTATGAGAAGATGAAGGTGGCCGAGAACCTTCCAATTTTGTATCCAGGTCTTCCATCGAAGTACTTGGTCCAGGAATGGTCACTGGGATGAATTTCTCCAAATCACCACTTGCCAGTTCTAAGAATAAATTATAATATCAAAAGACGATGTCTAACATTAAGTTCAGAATACTAAATATATAATCATTTATACGTACGTTCCACGTATTTTTCCAAAGATTTTGGAACCATCAGCTTAGCCTTACGCAAATTTTCTTCGGTACATTCTCCTTTTTCTAGACCTAGCAAAAATAATTATCTTTCATTAGTTAATCAGTGTAAGAAATGCAGTAGAAAATAACCAGAAAATCGTGTACCGAAAGCTAAACCCATTTGTTTTAGAACCTCAATATCGTCGTGAATTTCGAACTTATCGTTAAAATTGAACAGGTACTCAGTTCTGTAAAAAACGCGATGCATTATTATCATTAACTAAGAAGCAAATGTAGTGATAAAAGTGTATGATTTTAAGAAAGACGTATCATACTTGTCATTCGAAATGCTGCAATCTATGACAGTCTTTTTGCTAGTATTCACAATCAGGAATGGCAGCTGTATGGCAGAATTTGGTTTTGGTGGGCCGCGCAGACTTTCATTGGCACGATTACGTTCCACCAGGTTTTTGAAAGAGATATGCGAGAGAATTAATTGGTGTAATTGTTGCGTTTTCGCTTTGATCCTCTCGATCTTTTTCTTTTTATCTTTCTCAAGTGCCATACACTCTTGCAAAGAATTAGTTGGTAAACCTAGCCACCTGATTTCCTTCTTTTCTTTCGAAATAATATTCATTGCCATTAAGACGTTCAAAGCGTCATAAACACGTCTTCTAATGTTTTTTTGATCATATTGCTACAAAAGGTGAGCGATAAGTTTCATTAATTCTTATTCTTCAGTTTCAGTGTAAAAAGAGTAACTGTACCTGATCTGTTAAGGAGTTTATATGAGCAGGATTAGTAAACTCTCCAACAAGCTCGTCTGCAACCTCATTGTAGGACGTCGTTCCCTTCTTCTTAACTTTTTCACAAACCTTCATCGAAAAATGACGTAATCCTTTTCCTACTTTTTCTGTTTTTCTCCGTTTACTATAAGTAAGTACATCGGAATATAATTACTTATTAATATTTTTAGAAAAAAAATTCAATATATGCATAAAGATAGCGCATTATTACTCTGGTACAAAGTCGCCACCCTCGACATCTTGTCTTTTCCTAGAACCACTGTGATCCAATATCGGACTGATATATGTTTTTCCACTTGCATCTTTCACAAGTTGTTGATTACCAGATTGTTGCTGCTGTTGCTGTTGAGACACTATTGCCTGTTTTATATCACTCTGCACAAAGAATCAAAGAAGGTGAATTATTATAAAATTCTTTAATCCTCTTTAATTAATCTATTAAATTTTCAAGTCAGTTATAGAATATCTATTAAACCATTTAATACGGGCAATGGTTATAGTCAATGGCTCTCAGTATTCATCTGTGACTAAGTGCAGAATTATAATTTTCTTTATTAAATTTTGTTTTAAAAGTCCGCTCACAGTGATATTGAAAGAGTTCAAGGTAAACCATATCAAGTAAGACATACCATTTGCGCAGATGTCAACTGTATAGTTTTGGTCAGTACAGGTTCACCAGCCTTAGTTGTTGCCAATTTTGTATTCTGCAATGGTATTGTAACCAATCCTAGAATAATGATAAAAAATTGCTTCATTATTCTTTACCATCAAACGAGAATAGATATGTTTTATTTAAAAAATGACGTACTTTGACCAGGAGTTGAAGGACTTTGCAAACTAATAGTTCTAAGAACTTGTGCGTTCGATGACAAAACCTAAAAAAAAAATATGGATACCACATTGAGTATAGCCTTGAAATATATTAAACTTGAAATATTTTTATGAAAATTATTGATATCAGTAACAACAAAAACAGTTGTTCAAATGTTCAGTCAAACTCTTAAAATGATCAAAGTATTATACCTGAGATTCTTGGCTCGGAGTCTTAAAGACCTTAAGGCCACCTGCATTTGTTGTACTGACAATACCACCCAATGCTTTATTGGCTGTACTCTGTACAACCTTTATCACTTGTGGATGACCTAAAATAATTACAATTTCTCTTGTATTGCATCAATATTTAATGAGACAATCATGGTATTGATAAAACAAGAAAAAAAAAATGTACAAATATTTCCATAACATTTAATAAATTTTAAAACGAAAATATAATGAACAACTACAATCCACTGAAGAATGATTTATGGAAACATTCTAAAATGGAAACCCTATATGTTTTCCATTATAGAAGTATGATACAAGTAGTCATTTATATAATGTCATAAAGAGTACATATATCAAATGTTCATATACCAGATAAACTGGTTTTCTAAACTGTTTCAGTTTCAACAAATGAAATAGTAAAACTGGATAAGATCTTCCATATTTGACTAAAAGTATTGGAAAGTAAAAGTGTCCCCTTCGACTACACAATCAATTGGAGCATGAATACATTTGTTCCAAGTATACTACAGTACCAGGACTAAGTAAGCAGTTAGTTTTATTTGTTTCTCAGCAGATGGGAAGGTAAAAACCTATTTAACACGACGCATTTGAGAAATATTGCAAAGAAGCGCGGTGCGAGACCAGCACGAACATGAGGACGTGACAGAGTCAATAGAAGCTTGTAATTGATAGAAATCGGCCAGAAAATAGTAGAAATATGAACGTGAATCCCGAAGGAGAGTAACGACAGCGAAAATAGGGGGCCTTAACTAAAACGAGAGGAAATTGAGGCATTATCATCGAAGTGAGGCATGCTGATAATTGGCGCGCACTCGGCATACTCACCGTTCGCGTCATGTATGAGAAAGTTCATCGTTTTGTTTTGTTGCGTCATCCTCGAGGTTAGAATTCCGTCCCGGCGTCACCGACGATCACTACGATCGACCGAATGCCGAGTGAAAATAAAAAGATCATAGGTACACTCGCTAATCTTGGCTCGGTCTATCACCAAAATGGCGACTATGATATAGAACCATTTGATATCAGAATTCAACAATATACAGATGAAAGAACGTCTCGAACAACACGAAAAAGTAAAAATCAGCCGTTTCTTTATTGTATTAAGTCAACCATTTTAAAAGAACGTTCGTCTGTTTGTAGAAGTATCGCACGAATTTCTAGCTTCCGCGTGCACAGTACGGAATAGAGACGAGCTTGGCGGCACGACAAAGTTAAACAGCTGATTGGTTGCTTTCTCAGTCACGTGGCTCCTCCTGTTCCACGTTTATGAGCCCAGTAATCTTCGCAAGAAAAACCCGTCTCTAGAGATACAAAATACCGTACGTTATCGTCGGGACACTTCTTCGCAAACGGATACCATTCATTTGCTGATCTCTGCCCAATCGGGGGTTCCCTTTTGAAATCCAACGTATAGAAAACGATGCGAAACGTTCGGTACATCGTAATTGGCCCTTCAATTCCATAAACGTAATAACATATTGGGGAATTTGCTGGAAGCGTGGCTTCACCTCGCGACAGAAACAGTTACTACTTTAAGGCTCCTTTTTAAAACAGTTGCTGTCTTTGACTCATGAAGACTGTGTAAGGAGTCCCAACTGTGTAGTGTAGAAGTGTTATCAAAATCCCGAACTTGAAGTTATGAATATTTCTACCACTCGTATACATATATATTGTCATACACATATGACATATATATATATACCGTAGCTGTGCGCACTTGCACCGCGAGTGGACGAAATATTCATAACTTCAAGTTCGGGATTTTGATAACAGTTTTCTAGTAACTTTCTTAGGGAGTTGGATCTCCTTATCCTCCTTATACAGTCTTCATGGTTGCTGCCTTTGACTACATATATTATATGATCAAAGGTTGCTGCTGCTTTTTTTTTAAAAGAAGGTTACTCAATTCGACATGTATATTTTTTTTCCCATCATTGAAACACTACAATTTTCACGTCACAATGTGACATCATTGATGTGTCATGACGTCATGGTAGCATACATTTTAGATTTCGTGATAATAAATGTGACATTCAATGGGTGCATCCATAAAGGCCACCGCTCATTAAGCCACTCAGTAAGCGGGTTAAGAGCAGTGGCGCCATCCGTAGAAAAACACTCAAGTTTGTAGTGAAAATAGTTCACACTGCTGGTGCTAGATAGCACCACCGATGTATTTCATCCATTATTCTTTATTTTGTATAAATGCATAATTAATACGATTCTTTTCTTTATATTTTCTTCAATACAGTGTTACTATGTCTAATTTATCACTCTTATAAATATAATATTCAATTCAGCAATATTTATCGACTCTTTTAGTAGTGACGCCATTTAGCAAAAACAGTGGGGAACTATTTTCACTATAAACTTGGGCATTTTCCCACCTATGGCGCCACTGGTACTAAAGGTCGTAACACAGTATAGATTGTGACTAAACTATGAAGAGGAATTATCTGTGAAATAACCTTTAGTCATTATACTTTGACAGCGTTCGAAACGCGGTAAAATTTAAACTCATAGGCAGATCACTAGTTGACCAAGATATTCAGAGATATGTGAAGGACATTTTAAAGGTCCTTCTTTCATTTATCATCCTTGAGATTTCTTAATGTATAGAAATAATCTCACATACTCTTTAAAGGCTTTAAATGATTGAAATTATTATTAAATTGAAAAATTCAAGTTAACTACATGAATATAAGAACTGTTTCAATATTTAAAGGAATTTTGTTTCCTTATTATGAGTTCTTTACTTATTTTATATCTACATAATGTAGGTTTTCTAAATTTATATAAGAAAAAAATTAATTTTACGTATACTAAATCTTCGCGCCATGATGACTCATATGCTGCATTGTGCATGAAAGTAGCCCGAAGGATGTTCTTGATGTTTTTAGGCATTCAAAGCAGCAATATAGCACAAAATAGCGTAGAATACTTATATAGACATCTTATGTTTAGATATTTTATTGGCATAACCTTTCAAGAAAAAATAATTAATTTTTATACGGAACGAAATAGAATAAACGTGAATTATTTCAAATAACAAGGCGTACATTGTAATTAAACGAATTGAATTGCAACTTTCCATTCAAAGCATTCCGATTGGCTGAATGGAAAGTTTCTAGATTGTCGAGACCAATAATGTTTTTGCAGATCGGCGTTAGTCGTGAAAGAATTTTGATAAGAGACGTCACAGAATCTTGCAATTACTCAAAAGTTTTTAAAGATAAATAATTTAGTTGTAGCGTTCGTGAAATACATTAAATCGCATCGCGTAGAATTGAAATCTGCTCGTGACGGAATTGTCGTATAAATAATCGTGTAAATTGTGTTTTTAATACGTAATATTGAATTGAAAAGTAACTGCCTTATATGTGCGCTTTTAAAAGAATTGCATAGGATACTTCGAACCGAGGCTGAGGGTTCGTTCAAGTTTTGGCTGAATGGTGAGATTATTTTAAGGCTCGCGAGGTGATTGAAACGCACAGGTTAAACGTTAGCTATCTCCTTCGACAAAGTTACGTTGATACAAGTCGCAACTTAGCGTTCTCCTGTTTCTTTAAATCATTCAATTCTTATTTTCTGCCGCTTATCATTCTCGCAAAACCGTACGAATCTTGTGTGGTCTCGTTCACTTCTTTTTTTTTTTCATCTGAATTTCTCTATCGTCATTGTATCGTTGATCGACTTCATACACGACCTCCATTTTTGTTGTAACTATTTCGTCGGCGTATTTCTTACACTATTAGTCAGTTTCTTTATTTTTTTTTTTTTATTGCTTTGCAATTTATCGACTGCAATTTTTTGGAAATCGAAATTTTTAGGTTAAATCCAATGTGTAGCTGCTAGAAAATAAAGACTCGGAATAATATTTATGAAATAATGTTTGATGATAGTAGATCGTAGCCCGTAAGAAATTTGACATTTACGTCTACAGATATAAGCTGATGGGACGTGTTTAACGTTTTTGACCACGAACTTTGTAGCATGCAAAAAGTACATTTACGAAGAATATACATTTGTTGAAAAAGTTTATTATATGGTTATACATAGCAATAATCCAGAATTTGGAGCAGTATGCTATAGACTGAATCACGTAATTGTTTAATCTAAATCTTATTTGTATCTTGTTCATATTATATATATATACGTATATTATTGATAGAAGTAAGTTCATTGCATATAACTAGTTTGTGTGATAGGGTATGATTTTGTATCTCATTATGAATAATGGGAAATGATTGAGAGAATCTAATTATGTCAAGCAAACTTTGTACATAGTATATATTAAACAAACACAATTAACATGTTATTTATTATTTTCATATGTTCCACAAGGTCTGTACATTGTGAAGAAACATGCCTCTGTTCGGAAAGTCTCAAAAGAGTCCGGCGGAGGTGGTAAAAGCTCTTAAGGAAGCTGTCAATGCATTGGAGCGTGGTGATAAGAAAGTAGAAAAAGTATGTTGCAAGATTGTACATGTTGATTTCTATGATGTAATACGATGAATTTTAGGCTCAAGAGGATGTTAGTAAAAATTTGGTACATATAAAAAATATGCTTTATGGTACAGCTGAGACAGAACCCCAAGCAGATATTGTTGTTGCCCAGTTGGCACAAGAATTATATAATAGTAATTTGTTGCTTTTACTCGTGCAAAATCTTAGTCGTATAGACTTTGAGGTATGTTAAAATATGTATAAACTATGACATAATAGCAAAAGTATATATATACTAACGTACTTTGTAAAGTAATACTCATCATTGATAAATAAATAATAATCTATGATCATTGATATTAAAAACAGTAAACAAATAAAAATATTCTTTATAATTTTTTACATGCTTCAATTTATTAATTTTTATTTTAGATTAATTTTTTCCATTACTTTATACTTATCATTTTTCTGACAACATAACAACATGTTTTATTAGGGAAAAAAAGATGTCGCTCAAGTGTTTAATAATATACTACGAAGACAAATTGGAACCAGATCTCCGACGGTGGAGTACATCTGCACTAAACCAGAAATATTATTCACCCTAATGTCTGGGTGAGTTTAAAAAGAGAATTTTTGTTACAACTTGTTTGTTTGTTTCTTTATTATATCACTTTATGAATGTTATGAAACATTGTTACTTAAAATATGTACTTTACAACATTGGTTTTGCTACTGTTAAATTATTTACTGATATGAAATATAATAATTTCAGATACGAACACCAAGATATCGCCTTAAACTGTGGCACTATGTTGAGAGAATGTGCGAGATACGAGGCCTTGGCAAAAATTATGATCTATTCGGACGACTTTTACAACTTTTTCAGATATGTTGAAGTGTCGACTTTCGACATAGCTTCCGACGCATTTTCTACGTTCAAAGTAAGCGATGATAAGCGCATGATATATCGTACTTAAAGTAAAGCATACTGTTGGTGCATCCGGTACGTTGGTTTTTAGGAATTACTTACCAGGCATAAAATACTGAGCGCTGAATTTTTAGAAATAAATTACGATAAAGTTTTCTCTCATTATCAAAGGTTATTGAATTCGGAAAACTATGTTACGCGACGACAGAGTTTGAAACTGCTAGGGGAACTTTTACTTGATAGACACAATTTTACCGTATGTATAGTTTCAAATACTTGATTATCAAAAATATATATATGTGTTTAATTAACATTTTAATTTAACAATTTTCAATTTTCAGGTAATGACACGATACATTTCAAATCCTGATAATTTGAAATTGATGATGAATATGCTCAAAGAGAAATCACGAAATATACAATTTGAAGCGTTTCATGTTTTCAAGGTATATGCGCGTATTTTTTAACTTATGAATTGTCATACATTTTTTGCGTGATCGACTATTATTTTAATGCTATTATTTAGAATTTAAATGTATCCAATTAACGCATAGTTTGAATTTTGTTATGTAGCGTATTATATGTACAGCTTACATAAAATGAAATTTATGATTCTAGGATCGCCAACGTTTTTTAGATTCTGGAAATAATCAAAAAGAATTTTCTGAAATTCAAATAACAAATGTAATAAACAATTTTTTTTCTCAGATTTATATTTTAAAATATATTTACGCTTATATAGGTGTTCGTGGCGAATCCGAATAAGCCGAAACCGATCCTAGACATTCTACTGCGCAATCAGGAAAAGCTGATTGAATTCCTGACGCGCTTCCACACTGATCGTTCCGAGGACGAACAATTTAACGACGAGAAGGCGTACCTTATTAAGCAGATTCAAGAACTTCAATCTGTACATGAGAATTAAGTCCAAAATACAAGTTATTGCTACAGCTACCGTTAACTACTACTATTGAAGTCTATTCAGCTGCTGTTGCCACTGTTATACCATCACAGTCACTGATGTAGCCAACTACCATTATTTTCTCCCCCTTTTTCTGTCTCTTGCTCTCCCTTTCTTTCACTTGTTATAATTATCGTTGGTCGATTCATAATGTCTCGATTATTATTATTAATATTATTATTATTAATTATTATTATTAATTATTATTATTATTATTGCTATTACTTTTATTTGCGAGTAGTTCTGTAAATAAAGTTTTTCGTTTAATTAAACGTCCACTTAAACATCCATTAACACTTTTTGCTCACCATACGAGGATGTCTGGAGTTGTCTCTGTAAATCAGCGGGAATATTAAATTACTATGATCTATCCAATACCTATAAACAATGAACATAAATTTCAGTGCTTGCAGACTTTTGATAAAAACAGTGATGACGTAGGTTTGTCCTAATACCTTATTCATCACACTAAGTTAAATCGAATAATATATAAATTAAAAATTTCTTTGTTTTATAAAATTAACATTGATTTTCTACAAGTAATGTACTGATTGATACTATCATGACTATACTATCTAATAGCTATTGCAAATTTTGAAAGAACATGTAGTTTTCACTTTTTATTTTGTTGAAAGTATTTCGTAACAAAATGTTACAATTACACTCCATCGAGGTTTCGCTGAGATTATTATAATATGAATCATTTCAAGGGATAAGATAAAATTATAATTTAAAAGGTAAGCTGTGTCACGTGGTCTGTGAATCTGTGAACGATAACGATATGAAAGTGTATGAAAGCAGTCAGCTTAGGTCAGGTTAGGTTAGTTGAAGCAAGTCGAAGCGATCAGTATTGGTCAGAAAATTTAACACTATCCTGTGTCAATGTTTTAGCATTATTTACTAATAAAACTTGAGTTATTTATTGTAAGGATATCTGACTTTAGTGCTTCAGTGCAATTATAGAATGAATAGATTTTAAATTTAGACGAAATAAAGGAAATGGCGCCGTATTTGTACGAAGCAAATTCTATGGAGAACGAAATCACATGAAACCATTCTGCTTTGTAATGATACGTGATATATTTATTAATAAGGAGTATGGAATAAATAAAAATGTTTGTGAAAGACCCTTGCGGCATCGTGTGTATCATAGTCACGTACGTCGCTGTTTTTTATGCAGATTATGTGGTTGTACGTTGGATTATCCTGCATAGTTTACAAGACAGGTGTGCATTTTATAGTTTCTCTATATCAGTGGTTACGTTTACCTGTAACAGTGTATCCTACTTTCTAAATATGTTTCATTCGATCTAATAACGTGGTTTTAAATTTAACATTTCATTGACATTTTTTAAATTTATTTAACATTAATATTTTTTTTTATATGTTATGTACAGTTTGTGGGGTCCCTTTCATGTAGTGGCTTTCAACACAGTTGTATTGTTATTGGTAATGTCACATTTGAAGGCAGTCTGTAGCGATCCTGGGGTTGTACCACTACCACAAAGTCGTATGGACTTTTCTGACATACATATAGATAATCCAGAGACAAAAATTGAATGTGATGAAAGTGATAACTGGACTGTATGCACTAGGTGCGAAACTTATAGACCACCTAAAGCACATCATTGTAGAATTTGTAAGCGATGCATTAGAAGAATGGATCATCATTGTCCATGGTATGCCATAAGATATAATAATATAAAATTTTTCATTTTACTTTTCAGTATTCAATCCAGCAAATTAAATCCAGTTAAAAGTTATCCAATTATTATCAATATACTTGTAGTCATGATTATGCTAATAATCAGTGCTTTTATTTTTATAAAAGTTCATCTGTTCTATAGTTCTCTCCTTATCTTTTAGGTTTTGTGATTTTTCATGTGTTTAATAAAAAAAATACTTGTTATCTTTGTATCTTAATATTTCTTGTCCATCAAATATAGAATATTAGTTCTAAGAAATTATTTTAGATTGTCAAGGATTTTTTTTTAAATTCCTATGTATATTAAATATATATAATTCCCAATATATAAAATTTGATAAAACTTTTGTAATAATAAGATTATTTGAAATGCTGCACAAAGGATAAACAACTGCGTTGGGGAAAGAAATCAAAAGTACTTTATCCAATTTCTGGTCTATGTTGGAATGTTGGCTGTCTATGCGCTAGGTCTGGTAATAACATCATGGATCATAGAATGTTCTCATTGCAGTAACGACATAGCATACAAACAGAGTCGCATGTATGTGTGCTTCATAATTATTATTACAAATTTTCGTTAATATCTTTCCAATGTATACTTTTAGTTAAAACAATCTATTTTCTTATCTTCTTTTTATAAAGATAAATTTTTAGATAAATTTCTTAATAAAAAACTCAGCATGTGTATTGATGAAAAAATGTTTACTACTCCGATTTTGTTAAAATTTAACCTTCTATTTAAAAAGTATATATATATTTAAATGTAAAAAAACGTGTGAAAAGAAATTATATAAATAATTAAAAACTCTTATTAATTTAAATATTCTAATTTTAAACAGTTTAAATTTCAAAGCTAATTGTATAAGGTCGACACAAAAAAAATTAATATTAATCTAGAAGTTTTGTCTGCAGCTTACACTGTGTTATATTGGTGTTGGAGTCGGCATTGTTTGGCATGTTTGTCATCGCGGTACTGGTAGACCAATTTCAAGGTATTCTGGGAGAAGAGAACACAACAGAACGTATGCAAAATAATCATCATTATAAGAAAAACAATTCCCGTACTTTGGTACTACTTTCTCAGGTTTGTGGCAAGAGTCATCCAATTTTATGGATGCTCCCTTGCCAAAACCCACCACGATATATATTCCGAAGAGATGCGTACCTGATCGATCACGAGGTCTAGATAAATCGATAAATAATTCCCAAACAGTGAATGCTTCTTTTGTGGCTTGTTACATCATAAATACTTTTTTATATGTAATTTAAATGTCTTTTCCTTATTTAATGGACAGAAGGTGCAATTTATAAAAGGTGGGAATATTATTATATATTATATAATTTAGGGAAATGAAAAAGGTATTATTTATATGCTCGTAAGTTTTATTATTTAAAATTAAAGTTTAGCAAATTTTAATCTTTTGTAATTATTTACTTTTTTTAAAAACTTTATAGCGTAAAGTCGCCAAAGTAAGAAAGAAGAAGCGGAAGATACGAGGCAATTTAAAGTGTAATTGTCTCAGTTTTGTAACATGATTTTCATCCGTAATAATGCAATTTGAAACATTGAATGAATATGTTTTGAAGTATTATTATTAAGGAATTAATTTGTGTATCATTCCATAAGATTAAATAAGTCTAAATGTACTTGCAAGTTTAATATTCAATACAATTGAACCAAGTATTAATAATTCTAGCAAAGGATAAATCCTTAGTGAAACTTGCAAAATTGCGTATGTAGACAAATTTGTCAATATCTTTAGCAAAGTTTTGTTATGAGTATATATAAGTTGTTCATTAGAAAAGTGGTGATTTATTCATTTTTGTTTGAAGACTATTACAATAATAGAAATACTTATATATATCTCTTTATTTTTCAAGAATATAAAGCTCAGCAGAACTGCCACTGTGATACAAGTTTTAGGAACAGAATATTGATATTATTTAAAAAAAAAAAAGATAGGTTTACATCACTTTTATAATGAGCAGCTCATTAAAATATTCAATGCGTCATTGTAATGTATGTAGAATTCAATACTAGTCCGCATTAATTTGTACAAATATTAACGAAATTGATTTGTATTAAAGTGGTATAAAATTATTTTAAATAATATGTATATTTTTTTATAATATTTATGTGTCGTGAGATCATATACTAAACAAGTATTATAGTGTTTTAGAAAGTTAGGATTAGTGAAGTCGAAATTACTTATAATGATAAAAGTAAAACAAACTTATACTATATTGCGTACAAAAAAACGTTTATTTAATTTGCAGCTCTTAAAGACAAGCTGCCATTAAGCCAGCTACATTTTCGAAATCTATTTTTTCTGTAATATTTTTTGTTTTTATATTTTCGTCTTGATTGGCGATAAAGACAATCGTTTTACTTTCCTCTTTCCATCCATACTTCTTTACCCAATGTTTCAAGGTGTTATCTAGAACAAAATAAATTTAATTTATAGACTAATTGTTAAATTACTGTAAATGTTTATCAAAAGAACAGATATTACCATCAACACCACCAAGAAGTTGTGCCAACAGGCTTTTATCTATTGTTTGAAAAGTAATTCCCACTACATGACAAACAAATTTTCTTATCGAATCCTGGAATCCTACAATTCTGTCGCAAAGATCAGACATGGACAAGACTCTATCCCAAAAATGCTGAAAGTCACATTGTTCTAAAATATCTCCTAAATACATAATTTGGTTAATGGGGCTTTCCTGCATCTGTAAATCAATTTTATTGAACTTAGCAATTAATTAACTGATAAATAATAGATATTAATATGAATATTTACCAAATATTTATTTATGCAACAAATATAAAAGAAACATTATATACTTTTTTAAAAAAATGATTGTAAAAGTAAATTGATTTAGATCAAATGCTAAGACAAAACATCTACTTTGAATATGTTTAAACTATAAAATACTTTGAGTTATATACCTGTTATATTTATTGATCTATTTAATATAGCAGTATTTATTCAATGTTTACAGAATACATAAAAATTGGAATTGTTTAGAAAGAGTTTATCAGAAATACAATTATGAATAAATTACTTACAATTCTTTCACTGAGGAGACATTTGCACAGAACAAAATCTGTGTGCGGTAGATTTGTCAGAGCTTTTAACAATATTTGACACGTAATATCGACGTTAAATCTATGTGGATTTAATTGATACAGCTTCAAAACTGCTAAATTAGCTTCTAAATCATATGCATTTTCTCTTGATTGAATTTCAACATATTTTTCGAGAGTTGCTAAATGATCTGGATTGTATCTAAAGAAAGATATTTATTTTATTCGACTAAAATACAATAATATTATACTAAATTTTCAGGTGTATTATCTCTTACATCAACCTGATTGCAAATAGTAAATAAGTTTGGTTAAACGTTTGTCAAGTACCTTTCAATGCCCTTCAACATTCCAGCCACGGTTTGACGCATTGCTTCAGCCATTTTGTTAAAGAATTTTCTGTTTCTCAGATTTGTAATTAGAATCAAATAGAGACAGATTGTTTGTCTAATTTGCCACAATGCTCTTTTTCTCAGAATGTGCAACAATCACTAATTACTAGAGTTCTGCAACATGTGGATCTTTGGTCGAAAGATCGTAGCGCCACCATTTCCAATAACGATAAAAAATTATTACTTTTTTTACCTTTGAATGAATGACTTGGAAAATGTTGGCAAAGTACTAAGGTAGTAGTAACTTTGAAAATATTCTTAGCTCTGTATATATAAATATTAGCTTTTTTTTTAACTTTTCTTTAAACTTAAGAAGTTATTACTTTTTTTACCTTTGAATGAATAACTTGGAAAATGTTGGCAAAGTACTAAGGTAATAGTCACTTTGTATATAAATATTAGCTTTCTTTTTTAAACTTTTAAACTATCACAGTTTCTCTTGTGGGTTCCCGGTATTTTCGTTAAAACGAATAGCCATCTATCGGTGAATATACTGAACTATTCTTTTCTTTCTCGTTTATTTATAGTGCAGTTCTAACAAGAACTTTTTGACACTTTTCTTTACAAAATTAGATTACATGTTTGGTCGGTATTACAGAGTTCTTTCTTATTAATATATGTTTCCCCTAAATCTAGGTGTAATTCTACCATCGTTTAGTTTTACATTATTCTAACTAATTTATAACTTAGGTTTAACCCTGGATTACATATAATCTTTGTTATTATTATTCTTTTTTTTTCTTATGATTATATTATGTTTGTATTATATTTGTATTATGTTTGTATGATTATATTATGTATGTACATATTGCTTATACTAATATCGATTTGAATAAAATAAATTTATAACATAGGTAACATAACAGTTTTTCTTTTGATTTATTTTCAACCTATATTTCATTTTTATTATTCTATTTGTTATATCTCGTAAACTATAATGTTGATGTTGATTTATGTTAACTTATTCTACGTTTTCCCTATTTTTCATTCCTTTGACCTGACAAAACGAGTGAAATTAGAGACTGCTTTTTTTATATTTTGAATTATAATGACTAAGGATCTTATTATTTTATTTTTTTTTTTAATTATGTGATTGTAACGCATTGATGTTATGTATAATGGTTTAATTTTAGGATTATCAATTTATTATAAATCAATGTTTATTGCGGTAATAAAACCACAGATCGCTCTGTAGATTCTGAGTTTGTCTTGTGCTATTAGCTTAAATATATTATTATTCGAATTTGTTATTTCCGTTCCAATTTTGTCAAATAGAGCCATTCTTTGGACGTTGTAGAGGGGACATTAAAAAAAGACGTGGTTTAAGCTCTCTTCATCTTGGCCGCAGTCGCAGTCTGCGTGGGTTTTGATAAAATGGTGCTCCGGGAAGCATGTAGAAGCTCTATGTTGGTCTGGTTGGTATATGCCTCGTATTGTGGGGTTAGCGTCAAGCTCTGTTCGGTGCCCTTTTCCATCTGTTTTAACCAGTATCTTAAGGCTAGCAGTCTGGCTCTAAACTGAACACCAATGAACCCGGTGTCTGCATACATGGAATTTATCGGTGTGTAATTCTATATCCTATAGCGGTCCTTAGGGCGGCTGATTCCAGTTTTCTAAGCTTCTCTTGTTGATGGTCCGATACATCCATCGGTAAGGTAGATAGCTGATCCATATTCTAACACTGAGGAAACCAAAGATTTGGCTATGTTTATGGCTTGGTCTGGTCTAATGCCTTTATATGTCGATAAGAAGATTTATGAAGACCGTCGATAAAGAAGAACTAACTGTTAACTCGATGATACTTGATGATACTCGATGTTATTCATTTGATTGTCTTTTGTGAAACATATTTTAATTTTGTTTGCCTTTCAAATATTTAAAACACACTTTCTGTCAATCCATTAAGCAAGAGAGATCGTTTAAAATAAATACCAGAAATTGTTATTCAATCAAAAGTTTTATTTAGTCTACATTAAAATATAATATGGGTAAACCTTCCCCATAGTTAATATAAAAAATAAATATATCTTAGAAAAAATTAGTGGACAAGCATTATAATATTATAATATTAAAATATGATTGAGGTTCAATTTTCAACCCTTGAACTTTACATTTTTTATTAAAACAAACAAATGGCGCCATCTAGCGTTATAAATGAGAACTACTCCACGACAAACTTGGGCGTTTTCCCGATAGAGGCGCTGATCATACTCCGTAGAATAGTTCAGTACATTCATCGATAGATGGCTATTCGTTTTAACGAAAATACCGGGAACCCACAAGAGAAACTGTGATAGTTAAAAAGTTTAAATAAGAAAGCTAATATTTATATACAAAGTGACTATTACCTTAGTACTTTGCCAACATTTTTCAAGTTATTCATTCAAAGATAAGAAAAGTAATAACTTCTTTTGCTCGTGAGCAAACTGCAGAAACTGTTGACGAAGTTTTGTTTGGTTGAAAGTACAGGGTTTTCTAATGGGAATAGTAGAATTTTGAATACTGATAATTGTAATGTTTATTTTTTTCAGGTGAAATTCCAACGTGTACATTCTGCTGAAAACATCGTTGCTGTATATGAAAATGCTGTATATAATCTATCAATATCGCTTCTATAATGTTCTTAGAAATCGGTCTATGAAGAACTTTACATACAGATCTGTGTTTAAGATCCTAAGATTGCAAGATTGCAGAATTAATAACAATAACAGTAGTAAATTCTTCTCTGATCGAGTACAAACAGTTATTTAATGAAAGCCTCCGGTTTGATTAAGTTCTTCAAAGATTCTTCTACTGAAAACAAATTCTATTTACTATGTATTAGATATCGCAAACATTGTAATCGTATTTTTCTGAATTAATATTTAAAGAAGCATTTATTGAATGACATAAACGATGTGCTTAATAAGATACAGGAAAATTACATTTTCTCCGCGTTAAAAATTTTCTGTCCCGCCCCCTCCGTGGTTTGCAGGGCACCCTCCCCGGGTGTCTCGCTTTTCATTTCGGAAAACAGTAATTTAAAACGCCTCGCGATATCGAAGGGTGGTTCGACTGGTAAAAAAAGAAAAAAAAAGATTTGACCCGCAAAGCGATTCTTAACGTGGTTCCCGCGCCACTTCCCGCACATCCTCTAGTCATTGGGGATGCTCCCCTCTGCCGTGCTGGCCGTTAACGAGCAATCAAACCGTGTGTGCGCGCGCGCACGCAAGATACAGAAATTAGCGAAAGTTTTCTGTTTTCCGAAAAGATTCGAAAAGTTTGTTGGTTCAGCCGTGGATCGATCCGTAACGTTCGAATGTCGTGGTCGAATTTTTCGAATTCCTCCGCGAATAAAAAATCTCCGAATAAGTTTCGTCATCGTACGAGAAAATTGATCGCGAGGATTTTCCGCGAAAATTCTTGCCCTTCGAACCGTTAGTACGAATCGTTCGATCGACCTGCGGTTGATTTCTATCTGTATTTGGATTTGTGTGAGTTAATGTCGATCATCCTGATGATCTATATTACAGAGTGTACCCAGAACGGATGTAGCGATAGATCGGTGTCACGTGAACCCTCCGGATATACTAGCTTCCTAGTCTTGCTCACCTACTTTATCGGACTCTTCCATTTCGTCGGAAAGTGCAGAAATTCGATACGCGTGTAGATAGTTTTGTTAAAAGAGACGTCAAGGAACGAATGATTATTTCATTGAGCGTTTAACGCAAGGTTTTACGTATATATTTGGAAGTACACTTGCAACGAAGGAGAGAACGAGATTTCCGATCATTTCTGTCTTCATTGTAGGTCCGTTCTTTTTTGGAACCCAGAAATGGAACTGTTTGAGGAACCGAAAGGAAGGACACCCGAGTGGGTGCATTGCATTTGCAGAGGTCATCTCCAGGTGATTTGCGGGGAAGAATCGTAGAAATGGGAAGTCATTCGTATAAAGATGGCCTGGTTGACGCAAAAGTTTGCGAGGGTGCTATCTAAATTAAAATAAGATAAAGCAGGGTACACTTTTCCAGGAGTGATCATTTATCAAAGGCAGACGTGCTCGTTTTGTTATTTAAAGAGACAGAAGGGGGATTTTAATTTAAAAATTCTTGGCATGAACGAGATTAGTATGTTCTGTAAGAAACCTTGCTAGTGTCAATCGGACATAGTTCTTTTTGTTATTACTACCAATTTTTCCTTGAAAAATGTTTTGAGGAAGACCCATTCGGAGTTTAACATTATACTGATCTCTACCGCTCAACATGGTCCGTATTGAACACTATCTAGCCCTTAAGACGCAGCCTGCAACGAAGCCATGGATACTACAAGGAATAATACCCGCGCAAGCCTTAAATCTAAAATCATAATTGCGTGTTCTACACGCCGGACAGTGGCTAACTTTATATCTAACGAGGAATAATGCTGGTTATATTCACGTGAAATTGGACATAAACACACAGTATTACTTATACTTTATTGCATTATTTATGAATCAATAGACTAATATACTTAATCATTATTACACTAATCGTTAGTTTGAAACATATTTAATGCAGTGGCTAATTTTATAGATCTAGGTGGACAAAATGAAAATACTAATTGTGGAAACGGCCCTAAATCCTATAAATTCATTAAATATATATCGTAAAATGCCTAAAAAAAATAAAAAAATAAATAGTAACAAAACATTCATGATTACTATTATTATTATTATTATTATTATTATTATTATTATTATTATTATTATTATTATTATTAT